GATGTTGTACCTTACATTGAAGATGAGCAAGTGAGTCGGCACAAAATCATCGTATGGAAGTTACAGAGTTACGTTTAAGTCCAAGCCTAACTTAAATGATTCCTCACAATTGTTACGTATTTTCAAGTTGCAATCTTCCCTTGGTGGTCAGTGAGGGTGTTAGTTTAGCTTAGCAGGTGGTCAGTTTTTTTATGCAGTTTATTTATATGAACAGCATTTATCAACTTTAGGAAGTGAATCACTTCTCCTGCCTTTTGACAAGTCCTATTTGATGGCTTCATCTGAAGTCTTCGAAAAGATGATAGAATTATTAGCAGTAGAATTATTCAAAAAGGCCATGCAGCAGATTTCATCCTTGTTGCACGTGTAAGCGTCATTGGTTTTGCTGACTCTAATGACATTCCGGAAATTGACTGTAATATTGTGATATACCGACATTTAATGTTAACTTGATGCTGTGCTTCTTGACCCATTAGATGGCTGACCCCTAATTAATGGTGCCGCTAAACTTCAAATTAGACTCAAAGGATAATGTCAAGCGTCTATACCCACCGTGTCCCAACTTCCAAACAACGGGAGATTAGCTTGAAGACGAAGTGCAGATTTCTGCAGGCTTCTGTCCGTTCCATCTTCCTTTACGGATGCAAAAGGCTGGCCTTAAGAGTAGAATATTTGAGGAAAGTAGGATCATTCAATATCTGGTTTTAAGGAACGATCTCGTGGCATGATTTATCGGTTATATGTCCAACGTCAAAAGTCTTCGACGTAATGAATTACAAGCTGGGTTCTGTTACTTTATAAAAGTTTACTCAGTAATCTAAGAACACGTTTTCATGAGATGATGGTCAAATTACGTAGCCAGCGGCAGTGACAAAAAGTGAGAACAGAAAAAACAGGTAGAACGTCTGCTTCGGTTCGAAGCTCACTCATAATTAAGACAAGCCAGATAACGGATAACTGTCATTTTCCTTGAGTGAAAAAATGACTCGATTGTGATTCAGTGTAAGCAATTGAAAATTGAATAAAAGTTCGATTCTCAAAAGCAGTCTCTCACTGCAGGATTCAACGAAAGAGTGCTAAATGACGACAGGATTTCAACCTATGGGAAATGAATTATTAAACATATTCTCTTTACTAACTACTTAAATTAGTTCACCCATTCGCTCGTTCCTTCATTTCCAATACCGGCTCTTATTTTCGAGCCTTTGGGTCAACAGTTTCAATAGTTTCTTCCAGATATCCGTGTTTAGTCTGATACGCTCCATCGAGAGTTTTTATCAATTTCTATGGAAATAAAGGGATGCGCAATATCAATGATATAATCAGTAGAAAGCCTAGCTTCTAAAGATCGTTATACTAAAAGAGAAATGGTATGAAGGCTCTGCAAAATGACTTCATCACCACTGAACCTTCGTCATGCTTCGGTTGACTCGACGAAATAAGAAACAACCCGGAGAAGACAACAAGGGTCGAGGTAAAATACAACCGCCAATTTAAGGTGAATGATCCAGGCCAGATGCAGCACCCAGAAAATGAACCTCCGTGGAAAAACCTTCACAGACCTCTGCCCAACACTAAATTGAAAGGGGCAGGGGAAAATACCAGAAGACGAAGATTTTCGTCATCATAGCGGATTAAATCCGGCTGAATCCAAGAATCTGTGCAGTAAGCGATGAATCAACACATGTTGTTTCGCTTTCGTAGTTGTCTGAATAATGATGCAATATTGCAGTTACTCGGATGATCGTAAAAAATGAGCGAATGATTACTTAAGAGCGCAATGGCCGGCATAGGAATTGAGTCAGCGGCAGCTGCAGCAGCGTCAAATATCGTAAGTTAAGCTCTTTTCATTTTTTGCATAAATTACCGTGAGTCCATAATCTGACATAGAAATAGCTACACGTAAAATGCAGTGTTGGAGCATTTTATTGCAGAGCGAAAAATCTGTAACAGAAGTTCAAAAACTTGTCTTAAAATCAAGATCTCATAATTTATTAATTGAATACGCATACGTAGCATCAACTGACGGTACATTCAACACGAGGACAGCATCCCTTGACGACAATCCATTTCCAGGGTTCAGCCTTATTACAGAAGGTTTACCTAAATGTTTGGCGACTGGCTCGCCACAGTCTTACAAGATGTCCCCTCTCTTGTTTCTCAGTTGCAGCACTGTTAGGTAAAAAACAAGCTTCACCTGCTGAGCCTGTTAGTATCCTGCTAATGAACTTAAACCATAAATCCACTACTAACACCAAAAACGCCAATTTATAAGGGTTTGCGACATTTCTAGATAAAGAAAACTTGGAATGTAAGTCAAATTTCCTGCAGTTAATCAAGGATGTAAAAGAGAAGTAGTAGAAAAGCTCTGCGTCTTCTTCGACGAAACATA